GAGCAGCCCTAGTTTCTAGCAAAAAATCTTTAAGAGATGACATAAGCAGCCCTACCAGCATTTGCCATGGTGGCCAACATGTTTTTATTTGGTCTTAAATTGTAGTTCAACATGTATTTCCTGTTACTTCTGGACCATGACGGGTGGGCCAGCCTTTAATGTTTAACTGAGTGGAATATGTTGAACATGTTTTACCAAAACGTTGGATTTTTCAGGTTGTGAGAGTGCACTGCAACATGTTTGTTGATCTTGTTTATTGGTATTTATTATTTTGATATTATTTATTTAAATGTAGATATGAATGTATAATTTATTTTATTTTGTATGGATTGATTACCCTGAACATATAATTCAACAGTTAAAAAGTTAAAATTATTATTTGTATTTGTTTTAAAGTACAATAAATGGATGTTTTCAAAGTCAATGAATAATCGCAATTACAATTATTGACCCAAATAATCGAGATTCTGATTTTTGCCATAATCGAGCAGCCCTAGCGCCACGGCTTCCACAGATGAATTTTTATGTATTTATTGTCAAAGCACTTCAGATATTCGTTGCTATCGGGATGTTAAGAGCATTCCATGGAATATAACAACAAGTGTTTCTGAAGTGAATTACCTACCCCACCTTTAAGTGTAAAATGTTTAATGTCACAAATGTGAAAGTTGTCTAAAGATTACCCAATAATCATACTTGTTATTTTATTCAAACTCAGATTTAGATTCCCTCTTGTAGCACTTCAGTGTTTCTCAGTATTCAGGTGTGAAACATGATGTCCTTTCATCGTGTTCTGCTCATAAAACAGCTCGGTCTATCACAGTCAAACCAATTCTTCTGCATTTCAAGTTATTTTCCCAACGTATCCAAAATCCATCTTGTCACAAAAAATATATATATTATATAAACTTCTATGCCGTGAAAAACCTCTCTGCTGTTACTCACTTAGTGACCACTTCAGTGTCGATGTCTTCTATTTGCAAAACATTTTCTGCCACACACTGAAAAACACAAACAGATTACGAGTTTTTAAATCCCATAATGACTAAATGTGAGATCAGTGATTTGTAGAATATAATGTGAAGATATTTTACAAAATAAAGATGTGTAGTGTTAAGTGTGAGGAGGTGGTACCAGAGAGACGATGGCCTTCACCGCCATGATCATCTCCTCGCTGTAAATATCCAGGAAGTCGAGCTTCCTCTGCCGCAGCAGGCCGAACACCAGGGACTCCAGACGCTCCTGACACACACACACACACACACAAAGATAACACGCACACACACACAAAAAGTAACACATTTAATACTCAACAATACCAGTGCAGTTTACAAATGAATCAGTGTTAATCTGGAGAGGCAGCAGCGTTTCAGACGATAGGAAAAGTGATTTGAGATCAATTAGGATTCCTTCACCAAGCCGAAATCAAACAAATTAAACATCACAAGCAACAAATCAATAATAAGCCCCAAATTAATATAATCTTTAGTTCTGCATGAGCCAGCTAGAGACCACATTTAGACACTTATATAGACTGATGCATAAACAATAACAGACCCCCTCCCCTCCACTAGGGGTCTCTGTGTAATTGCGTTCGGCTTATTTGTGTTTCAGGTATACATTCATCAGCGGTTAATCTACATGGAAGGTCAATTATTATTAATTTAATCCTGTTGAGGCTTTGATTATTTGAAAATATATATCTTTTTTTATTAAACACAATCTTTTTTAATCACATTTACACAGGCTGTAACCAAAACAAATTATAGAATAGCAAAATATATTTTTTATCCAAAAATATATAAACCATTACGAATGTCCCGGTCTTGATTATTTCTGAATACATTTGTTTAACTTCATAAATAAAATAATTTCAAACAGTCTTTTCTTTAAATCATGCTTTTAACAATACGATTTGACCGAGATAAATATATATTATAAATAATAATACATTTTAAAATATACCGCCCGGCCCAAACTCAAAGATTATTTCCCAGCAGTCATCAAAGCAAAACTGATTTAAATTGTTTTCCTGAGTTTCTCATCCTGCTTGGAGACCACATGGATTAAGTTGTTCCAGTTATCTTTCTGGGGCTCATCAATGGAGGCGACACCATAAATCATCAAACAAAATGTAATAACTCCACCCATCTGGCACTCCATGCACATTAAAACAAGCGCTCACATGATTATCCCCACACAAGATTTGTTATCGATCCGTGTTGCGACACCAGAGCTTAATTCAAGCAGCAGATTTTGATTTGATTTCTTTGTGCGTGTGCGCGTGTGTGTGTGTGTGTGTGTGCGTCACCTTCCGTGAGGCATCGTTTGGTTCATAGACCTGTGATGGGCACAGCATCCGTTAAATACACACTAATCACATTAGTGTCTCTACAGTAAGAGCAAATGTCTGCAGCTGCACAAAAATAATGTTTTTGGTTTTCTTAGAGACTGGCGGTCTGGCGGTTTGGCGGTTTGGCGGTTTGGCGCTATTGATCAAGCAGCTGTAGAGAGACAGGAAGTGGGATGTCATGCGGCTAAAGGCCACACGTTCTATTTAAATAGGCTTTTTATTGCCTGTGAAAATGAAAAACTAACGAATACAAAACAAGAAACCTCAGCTTTTTTTAAACAAACACCCCTTTCTTTTCAAATGTCATTTACAAAACACAGTATAACTAAAGACTTTAAAAGATCCTACTTAATATTTCAATATTTCCTAAACTAATCTAAAGCTCCCCTCAACACATTCTGTGTTTAAATCAAAACCATACGATTGATTTTGAATTGCAAATGTAATAGATTTTCTCATTTGATTTTCTAAATCATTATGAGGCCTTTTCACAACTTCCTTAAACCTCCAGCTCTCTGTGATCGAGATACATTTGCAACCTTTAAACATCAATGATATTCTCTCTGTCTTATAGTAATTTAATGTCAGGCCTTTGTTTGAGGCGATTGTTAACATCTCCTAGAAGAAGCTGAGGACACAGGAATGAATAAGTGTTTTTGATAGAGATGCTCCGATCGATCCGCCGCTGATCGATATCGGCCGATACTCACTCTCTGCCGATCGATCGGTGCTCTCTAAAAAAGCCGATCGCGAGAGTGATGCATTACGTAAAATACATGACACTTTTCTCTGTGCGGCAAAACAAGCTCCTAAATGGTTCACCGGTCTGGCAGTATTTTAAAGAGTCCGAAAAAGTAAAATAGTGGTATGCAACGTGTGTGAAGCAGACACACACTAAGAGTTAGACCTTACACACTTAGCTAGTTATCTACCTCTGGAACTAAACTGGTTATACATATGTTTATTCTTCAATGTCGGGTCACTCATTACTGGATCAGTGAGCTGCATGAGATACTGACGGGCTGTCAGGAGAGAGAGAGAGAGAGAAAGAGAGAGAGAGAGAGAGAGAGAGAGAGAGAGGTCATGAGGGGGAAACACCAGGAGAGAGAGAGAGGGGTCATGAGGGGGAAACACCAGGAGAGGGAGAGAGAG